AATCATGACTGTCCCTCTAGATGCTAGATATATGTGAGTGACTTTCCCTCCCTTTATGGGAACAGAGAACACATCGTAACCCAAAAGAATGGAACCCACGTGATTCAGGTGCAGCCTTGTCAGCCACCCCAAGGTCCTTTTTTTATCCCTTGGAGGCCCAATTACAGTAAGTTCCCAGACTTCAGCTTTTCTCACCCAAAAAAAGAACAAGCAGTTCTGAGGAAAGCGTTCATTCCGCTGTGGGGCATATAGGCTTGGGAGCCCCTAGTGAAGGGTTGCTGCTACTGCCCTCTGGTGGTAATATAGCTGTATCTGCACAAATTCTTAACCTGGGAAATGCTTGATTAACATACTACATTTCTTTTTTTTTTAAGATTTTATTTATTTATTTGAGAGAGAGAATGAGATAGAGAGCATGAGAGGGGGGAGGGTCCGAGGGAGAAGCAGGCTCCTCGCCGAGCAGGGAGCCCGATGCGGGACTCGATCCCGGGACTCCAGGATCATGACCTGAGCCGAAGGCAGTCGCTTAACCAACTGAGTCACTCAGGCGCCCAGATAACATACTACATTTCAATTACAAGAATAATGTATTGCTACTCTGCTAGGCACTAGGGAAACATAGACAAATAAAACACAGTTCTTTCCCTCTAACAATTCAGTTTATAAAGTAAAGCGAAATCTTGGGGCGCCTGGGTGGCTCAATCGGTTAAGGGTCTGCCTTTGGCTTAGGTCATGATCTCAGAGTCCTGGGATCCAGCCCCGAGTTGCGAGTTGCCCTCCCTGCTCAGCAGGGAGTCTGCTTCTCTCTCTGCCCCTCCCCCTGCTCATGCTCTCTCTCTCTCTCTCAAATACATAAATAAAATCTTAAAAAAAAAAAAGTAAAGCGAGCTCTTAAACAGCTGGAATAGAGTGTAATGTGGTAAGTTATAATAAAAAAGACTCCTGACTTCTGGTTCCAGACAAAATGGGGTAGACATATTTACTCCTATTTTTCCCACTAAGTAAAGCTAAAACCCCTGGACATTGTATGTAAACAGACATGAGAAGACTCTTTGAGGTTGAGAGAAGAGGCCGACTTGCTAGCGACCTTGAGATGCAAAGAACGACATGGCAGTGAGTTCTTTGGGTTTTCTTTTGCCCTTTTACAGCTGACTGGATACTGGAGAAGCTGGTGTCCTAATACATCAATGGCTGCAGACCACAAGAAGCCCCAAGAGAAGTTTGCTTTCTTTAGTCAAAAGACCAGGACTGGGGCAGACGAGCAAGACAGGAAACTTGTAGACAATAATCACTCCAGTCCAGTCAAACTCCAAAAAACAATATCCCAGCCCCATCAGCAAAAACTGAGTAGGAGCCTACACTTGTCCCCTGAGCCAGGCATAATGAGGCAGTGCCTTCTCCTGCCAGGTGGTATCAGAGGTGAGGTGGGGAGCTGGGACTTTTATCCCCACCTGATGGTAATGAGGCCCAACTCCTGCATGTCAGTGGAGGTCCCTTAGGGAACCTCGACTCCCAAAGGACTGCCCCCCCAATAACGCGGCTCCCCTACCTGCAGCATCAGCAGAGGAAGCCACCGAGTGCCAGGGGGAAGCAGCCCCACATTTTTCAAGTGATGGGAAAAAAACAAAAAGAACTGTCAACCCAGGATTCTATAACCCGTGAATGTCCTTCAGGAATAAAGGGAAAATAAAGACATTCTCAGATGAAGGAAAATTAAGGCATTTACTGCAAGCAGACTTACCCTAAAAGAATGGCTAATGGAAGTTGTAAAACAGAAAAAAATGATAAAAGAAGGAATCTGAGAACATCAGGAAGAAAGGAAGAATGGAAAGAGGAAAAGTATGGGTAAATACAATAAGCTTTCCTTCTCAAGTTTTATAAGTTTGATGGTTAAGGCAAAAATGATAACTAATGTGGTTATCAATATTTGTAAAGGAAATAGTTAAGACAATTTTAAATGAGGGAGGGTAAGGGACTCAAAAGGAGGTAATATTTCCATACTTTACTACAACTACACTTCACCAAACTGTGGTAAGTTATATGTACATATTGTAATACTCAGACAAAACACTAAAAAATCTAGACAAAGAAAAACACAAACAAAATTGATAAATCAAAATTTAATTTAAAAAATGTTCAACTGGGGCCCGTGCGTGACTCACTCAGTTAAGCGTCTGCCTTCTGCTCAGGCCATGATCTCAGGGTCCTGGAACTGAGCCCTGCGTCAGGTTCCTTTCTCAGAGGAAAGTCTGTTTCTCCCTCTCCCTCTGTGATCTCTCTTGCTCTCATTCTCTCTCAAATAAATAAATAAAATCTTAAAAAAAAAAAAAGTGTTCCCTGAGGCAAGCAGGGGGAAAACAGAAAACCAAAAAAAAAAAAAAAAGACAAAAAAATAAAATGGCAGACGTAAGCCCTAATAATAATATATTACACATAGTCTAAATACAACAATTAAGAGATAGAGACTGGCAGAACAGATTTTTTAAAATGACTCAATTATATGTCACGTAAAGAAACTCACTTCAGGGGTTCCTGGGTGGCTCAGTCGTTAAGCGTCTTCCTTCAGCTCAGGTCATGATCCCAGGGTCCTGGGATTGAGCCCCGCATCGGGCTCCCTGCTCAGCGGGAAGCCTGCTTCTCCCTCTCCCACTCCCTTTGCTTGTGTTCCCTCTCTCACTGTGTCTCTCTCTGTCAAATAAATAAATAAAATCTTAACAAAAAACCTCACTTCAAACAATGATATAGATAGGTTGACAGAAAAAGAATGAAACCAGATATACTGTGCAAACACTAATCAAAGAAAGCAAGAGAGCTATATTAATAGCAGACAAAGTGTTTTAGAGCAAAGAAAATCACCAGTTACAGAGAGGGATAGTACATAATGATAGAAGGGCCAACCTACTAAGAAGACATAGCAATTCTAAATGTGTATGCATCAAACAGAGATGCAAAATATATAAAGCAAAATAATGATAGAACTGAAAGAAATAGACTTATACGCAATTAGAGTTGAAGACTTCAACATCTCTCTCTCAACAACTGATAGAACTAGACAGAAAGCACAGATACAGAAGAACTCAAAAACACCAGTAACCAACAGTATCTAATTGGTATTTATAGAACACTCCACTCAACAATGGCAGAATATACATTGTTTTCAAATACTCAAGGAGCATATATGAAGATTGACCATATCCTGGGCCATAAAATAACCTCAACAAATTTAAAAGAATTGAAATCGTACAGAATGTGTCCACCAATCAATAAAATCAAACCAGAAATCAAAAATAGAAAGATAACAGGGAATCTGCAAACAATTGGCAACTAAAAACACACCTCTAATTAATCCATGGGTCAAAGAGGAATTGTCAAGAGAAATTAAAGAATACACGGATATAAGTGGAAAAAAATACAAGGTGTCCAAATTTACGGGACACAGATGTGCTGAGAAGAAAATTTATGGCACTAAATGCATACCTTAGGAAAGAGGAAAACGCTCACCTAAATAATCTACGTTCTCACTTAAGGAATCTAGAAAAAGAAGAGCAAAATGAACCTAAAGCAAAACGAAGGAAGAGGAAAATAAAGAGCAGAAATCAATGAAACTGAAAACAGAAAAATCAATGAAATGAGCTCATTCTTTGAAAAGATCAATAAAACTGATAAACCTCTAGTAAGACTGATATTAAAAAAAAAAAAGAGAATACAAATTACCAATATCAAGAATGAAACAGAGGTTTCACTGCAGACCCTGCAGACAGATGGAGTCCTGAACTGAACCCGCAGCTTTTACTAAGCCTCCTAATGTCATCCTCCTCATCTGGATTTTAACCCCTGACAGCTCTGTATATCCAACCCCTAAGGGTTGATTGACCCACGATTCCCCCTTTCCTTGACCTTCCTACAGTATACCATAAACAAACTCCCCCTTTGTCGTCAGCCTCTACCGTGAATATTCCCTTTACCTTCTTGCCCTTTTGGAAACCTGGCCTCTTCTATTTGCAACAGGAAATACTTTTTATTCATTAAGTGTATTCCCCCCGCCCCGACTACGAAACAAGGAAATACAGAATTATAGAAAATTTAGAAAAGTGTAATAGGAAGTGTAATATATATCCTTTTTTAAAAAAATCAGCATCATGTCATCACCATCACAGACAACTTTCCGTACAGTTTTAACAGTTTAAAAATATACACATAGAAAATCGGGGGTTCTCTCTATTTCGCAGTACTTTTTTCAACTATTGTTACGTATAATAAGCTACATGATGTTCCTTCCCTTTAGGGTGTACTATAGTCATTCGCACTTGAGCTGTTTTCCAATCTTTCTCAAGTCAGGTAACTCTATGATGTACAAACATCTTTTCTTCTTCAGAGAAACTCCTTGAAATTATTGGGGCAAAGCAAGTGAACTTTAAATTGTTAATAATTTTTTCTTAAATTACAGAAAACGAAAGTCTTCATCATCGGATTCGAGGGTGGCTTCATCCCAGTTAGATTCAGACCATCTCCAATTCCCTCCCTGTACCAAGTTTGCAAAGTCTTAGTAACACCTCCCAGCAGTCAGCACCTACGCCTGCGCACAATCGCCCAAACGCAGCCCTCCAGCCCCAAAGGGAAACTTAAGGACACGCCCCCGAAGCACAACCTCTTTAAATTTTAAAACGAAGGCCCAAGCCAATGAATGTTAAGTTTCTCCCGGAACACGGTGCCCCGCTCACAGCCACGCCCTCCACCAATCAGACAGAGAGCTTTTCCGTCGTCCTTCCAATCAGCGCCAAGGATGGAAGTTACTCCCGTAAGTTACGTAAGGCAAGTGACCAATAGGAGCTGACTTTGGGGGCTGACTCCGCCAATGGCAGGAGCACTTGGAGAGCGCGGGAGCTTTTCCACCAGGGCTCCTGAGGGAAGCGGTGAATGGCGCCGGTTCTCTGAAGCTCGGGCCGAGAAGAGAGCCGCGCGGGCCCCTGCCGGAGCCACGGGGAGGCGGCGCGGCCGACATGGCCTGCTGTCACAACGTTATGCTGCTGCTGGACACCGCGGGCGGTGCCACTGGCCGGAGTCCGGTCCGGCGGGCCGCCCTGCGCCTCCTCACCTACCTGAGTTGCCGATTCGGCCTGGCCAGGGTCCGCTGGGCCTTCAAGTTCTTTGACTCCGAGGGGGCGCGGAGCCGGCCGTCCCGGGCGTCTGACTTCCGCGAACTGGGGGCCCGCTCCTGGGAGGACTTCGAGGAGGAGCTGGACGCCAGGCTCGGGGACGTCGCCCACGGCGCCCACCTGCCGGGCCCGGCGCCCAGGGCCAGCCACACGCACAGCGCCCTGATGGAGACGCTGCTGGACTACCAGTGGGACCGGCCCGAGATCACGTCGCCCACGAAGCCGATCCTGCGCAGCAGCGGGAGGAGACTGCTGGACGTGGAGGGCGAGGCCAAGGAGGCCGGCACCGCGCTCGGGGGCTTCGCGAACGCGGTCTTCCTGCTGGCCCCCTGTCCGCATTCGCAGAGGGAGCTGCTGCAGTTCGTGTCCGGCAGCGAGGCCCAGGCTCAGCGCCTGCCGCCTCCCCCTAAGCAGGTGATGGAGAAGCTGCTGCCCAAGAGAGTCCAGGAAGTTATGATCGCCCGAAAAATCACCTTGTACTGGCTGGACACCACCGAGTGGCCGAAGGTAAGTTCGTGGTAAACTCAGGCTTGGCGCACGGTGTCCTGCTGGTTGACCGGAACCTGACCGGAACCTGGAAGCGTCTGCAGAGCAGCTGGGAGACTCGGAACGAGACTAGCACGACTAGCATGTGTCCCTTCAGAAGGGAAGTCCTGTGGTCATAAACTGGGACAATAGGTAGGTCCTTGGTACATACTAAGGTAAGCATTTAGGGCCCTTATCTGCCTTCCCAGGTTCTGTTTTTCCTACATACGACGAATAGTCCAGCGTATTGAAGCATCGTCCAGTGGGCCAGCAAATCTTGACTCCGTGTTCTGTCTTATCGGTCACCCCGAATGCCAGTGCTCACTCTTCTGTGCCAGTCCAAACTTCTAACGCCTTGCCCCGTGGCAACTACTTAGTCTCAACTTCTGAATTTCCACGCACTTCTGTGGCACTTACCCTTTCCCCATTATATCTTCCTATATGCAAGTCTCGTACCTTCCATCTAGTCTAAAAATACCTCAGAGGCAGGCACACACACACCTTTGTATCCCCTGCAGATGCGTATTGAACATTGTATGAGTTCAGTAAATAGTTGTTGACTAAAGCTTACAGTTGTAAATGGCTCATTTGGAATTTTGTTGAGGCAGTGGGGCCCCTGCTCCTGTTAAGTACCCCGAGATAAGTATGTATTTTTTTTAAGATTTTATTTATTTGAGAGAGAGAGAGAACGGGTGGGGGAAGGGGCGGAGGGAGAAGCCGACTCCCCGCTGAGCAGGGAGCCCAATGCGGGGCTCAATGCCAGGACCCTGAGATCATGACCTGAGCCAAAGGCAGAGACTGAGCCGCCCAGGCGCCCAATAAGTATGTATTTTTACCCTCACCATTTTCCTCCTGTCACCTCCATTTAATTAACATAGTCATTGAGAAGCCATTGCACCAACTGCCTACTATACTGTTAAAGTCGCGCAGGGCGTGGTGGTCAGCTGAGGTGGTTTACCTTCTAGTGAGGAAGCTACATTAAACAGAAATGAATAAACAGGTGAGCAAGAGGACGTAGAAGGGTGGGGTGCGGGAGCTTTATGAGCAGAGGAGGTGAAGGAGGAGGAACAGGAAGGTTGGGAAAGAACATTCCAGAAAAGAGCAGGTATAAAGATTTGAACTGGAAAGGAGCTTAGTTTGTTTCAGAAAGCACATGTCTATAGGACCTAGGCAGTAAAAGTGCGGATTTTCTTCTAATTGATGAGCAGTGGCTTAACCAGGTAAAAGATGTGATTCCACTTATTGGGAACACATGTGACTAAACTAGGAGTGGGTAAAATTGCAAGATTACAAATGGGAAATGAGCAGGTACTTAAAAAATGATATACCTTGTTAAAATTTCCAACATGCTTTCACATTCAAAGCCCAGAAATGGTAAATGGTAAATGTAAAATAAGGCAGCAGTGGCTTGTCAAAGAAAAGGAAAGAACAAAGGTGTTTAAGGGGATTGTGAATGTTTGATGGAGAAAATGGAATCCTAGAACTTAAAATTTGTTAAGGCAGCAAATCGAGTGTTGGACATAGTACACAACACATAACTGCTTGATTTGGGGTAATTGATACCAAGTCACACCAAAGACTTTATTCTGGAATTATATCAAATACTGGCTGGAAAGAAATCTTGGCAGATGGGGCTTGCAGATTCTTCTGCCTTTTCTTTTTTTGGAATAGCATTACAATAAGTAGATTGACAGTATCTTCTCAAAGATCTCTTCCAGTTCTGACATTCCACCATCTGAGGGGATGGGTCTTCTCTGAGGCTTCCCTTCTCACATCTGCTATGTTGTTTACCCTAAGAAAATGCCCATCAAACAAGCTTTTCTGGAATTTTTTTTTTCTGGTGAAGATTCATCTTTTCCTATTCAAAAAGCCTCTGCCCAGCCACACTGAGGAGACAAGGGGGAGCTTTAGGTTAGTGCTTGGAGAGCTCTCACTACAGGGGTAGAGAGAAGGGAAGGAGAGAAAATCCAGGTCCTATCTTGTGGAGCTCACAGTCTGGGAAACAGAACTGGAAGAAACAGAACCTGGACTCAGACTGGGGGAAGAGGGATCCAAGCACAGAACTCTTGCAGGAAAGAAGGGAGCATAGGAGACCACTGGCATGCTTTCGACTTTATACCTGATTTATTCAGCCACATTTATTACATATCTGCTGGGTGCTGGATGTACCATTAGTGAATCGGACAGATGTAGTTCCTGCTGTCTTGGAGATAAAAGTTTTTTTGTTTTTTGTTTTTTTAAGTAATCTCTACACCCAGCGTGGGGCTCGAACTTAACCCCGACATCAAGAGTCCCATGTTCTGACTGAGCCAACCAGGTGCCTCTGAATTTATAGTCTTGTGGACATTTATAAATCTCCAAATTTGAAACTTATCACTAAGACTTGTCTCTCACTTAATCTGTAATATGCATAAAAATGAAAAATGTGACCATACTCTATATAGTGATTGTTATTGTTTTTTAATCATGTATATATATTCTCATCAAAAGTTAATGTCTTTTTCAACTCTTATTGAAGCTTTACCTTTCAATTGATAAGCAGATTTTTTTTTTCTTAGCTGTCCTCTAGCCAGAATATCTAACAATTTCAACAAATTTTTTGTTTCCCTTTGGCAAAAAATCCTAATCAGGATCTATGGTATATGAACTAGCTTACTATTCTCCCCCATAGTGGTGAACACAGGCATGGACAAATGGATGGTAACAGCAACTTTTAATTAATTGATTAATTTCCAAACTGGCATGCATAACTGGAACAAAAGTTTTACAATATATTGTTTATCTTCACTTCATGAGATATTTTCTGTTGTGCTCCGATATTTTCTATTCTTTTTTTTTTTTTTTGATGCTGATCGTGAGCCAATTGATCCATCAAAGGATCCATCCGAGTCCACCAAAGGGTCATGACCCTCATTTTAAAAGCACTATCCGAGATAGTTCTTGGTTCTCGGACTAGCCTGTTCTTGCCTTGCTGTGACCTTGGGTACTCTTATGCCCCTTTTTGAACTTGAATATATGAAAAGTTTGGAGATGACTTTGAAGACCTCACATTCCATAGCAATTTATGATCTATAATTGTTAACTCCTGTGGAGTAGGCAAACCAGCATAATAATTGTATTTTGGGGTAGACGCTCTTCCATCATGTTCCTATACTACTTGAATATTGTCATGTTATATTGTGATGCTGAGTTAAACATTTCACATTATTGCGGTTTTACTCTACCCCCAACTTTAAGATTCTAGAAGACCGAGACTAGGTCTTGCTAATCCATGGCATATAAAGGTTGCTCAGTAAAAGTTTGTTAAGGGGTGCCTGGATGGCTCAGTCGTTAAGTGGCTGCCTTTGGCTTGGGTCATGATCCCAGGGTCCTAGGATCAAGCCCGCTTTGGGCTCCCTGCTCCGAGGGAAGCCTGTTCTCCCTCTCCCACTCCCCCTGCTTGTGTTCCCTCTCTCTCTGTGTCTCTCTCTGTCAAAAAAATAAGTAAAATCTTAAAAAAAGACAATTCTTATAAAAAAATAAATAAAAAAATAGTTTGTTAAAAGAAGGTTAAATGGGGCGCCTGGGTGGCTCAGTTGGTTAAGCGACCACCTTCTGCTCAGGTCATGATCCTGGAGTCCCAGGATCGAGTCCTGCATCGGGCTCCCTGCTCAGCAGGGAGTCTGCTTCTCCCTCTGCCTCTGCTCCTTCCCCCTGCTTGCGCGCTCTCTCAAATTAAAAAAAAAAAGTTGAATGAACAGTTGTCTGTGGGTGAGGAAATAAAGACTGGCTTTTACAGAGAAAGCAGGATGTGAGCTAGATTACCCAAGTTGGAGAAGAAGGGGAAAGCATGGGAAACAGCATGAACCAAAGCACGGAAGATAAAGTATGGTGTGTTTAGGAAACAGTAAATGGTTCAGTGTCCTGGAAGGTAGCAGTGGGTGAGGGAAAGATAATGTGTTTGGAAAGGTTGTTTAGGGCTGGGCTATACCCAAGAGTTACTTTATCGTGGAGGCAGTGTGAAGCCCTTGAAAGTTTTTACAGAAGTAGTGCGATCAGATTCATGATTTGCAAGAATACTTAGAGCACCATAGAGGACAGATGAGAGGCAGGACACAGACTGGAGGGGCTGTACAGTAAGAGTCTAGGCAAGAGATGACAAGGGCTGTAGTGAGAGCAGGCTGTATAGTAACAGGATACTGGCCGTTTGTGTGGGACTTAATAAACACAGTAATTGAGTAATTCGATCCTTTAATGTAGATGTCAACTTTCTCCTGCTCTCCCCAAGCTTTATTTATGGATGCCTCATTTATAACCACCTGAGTTTCTTTGTAATTTTTATTTTAGTTGTGGGAATCCCCGGACCACCTTGGGTACTGGACAGTGTGCGAACTGCTCCACCTTGTAGGAGGCACTATCTTACCGTCCGAAACTTTCAGCCAGGATTGTACTAAAGCTGGGAAAATCCTGCTTGGTAGTGAAAAAAAGCTGGCAAGTGAATCTCCCCTCTCTTCATGGATTTCAACTCTGCCACCTGATGCCACTTTGAACTGTTTGCTCTATAATTCTGCCTATGAAGCCTCATTTCCACGGATGGAAGGAACGTTATTTCTCCCTGTTGAAGGTAAGCAAATACTCTTTGGGGGGGTTTTATGGTCTCAGGTACATTGATTTCTTCAAGGCAAGCCCGTGCTTTTCTTTAGAGTTTCCAACAGCCTAGGCACTCCATTAATGCCTGTAATTAAAAGGTGTCTGTGCAGAATCAGGTACCACAGGAGAGTGTTGAACATGGGCTCAGTGTATCTGCCAGCCCACCTTTAAAAAGAACTAGTGAGTGATTTTTAAAGGATTTCCCAGCTGTTGAAAAGAAGGATAATAGTGTTCAGGTGCCCAAGCAAAGGGGTGGTAAGATTTCCTGCCTCATAGAAGAGACTGATAAATGGAAGACCATAGAGAAGCAATGATTAAGAGAAGAAATAACAAGTCAACAGCCTCTGAAACTGGTGCCTGTCACCAGGAAGAGCCAGCATGTTAGACTCTTCATAAGTTTACTGTATGATCTGTAGAATGAATCTCACTTCTGAATCCCTTATCCACACAAAAGTCCTACTCTGTAGAGATGTATACATAAAACTATGTTATATACATTGCGTGCAGTTTAAGGAAATTTCAAGAGTAGTTTTAAGCAGTTTTATACATAATCTTTAGAATTCAACATTCTTATAAGATGTGATGCACTGTATTTTACAGATTTAAGCAGTGTTGTCTTTTTTATAACTCATGAGTATTGCTTGAATCCTTATTTCTAAGGCATAATTATTGAGAAGTTCTGACATTTAGTTGGACCCTTGTGATTCCATTCATATGTAGCTCTTCCTGTAGAACAAAATGCACTTGCTCTGCTGGTCTGTGGGCAGTGGGATGAGGGATGAAGCATGAAGTGACAATCCTAGTACCATGTGGACAATCTCATTTTTTTCTTCTTACTATTAAATCTATTTTTAGTAACGATTACATTAGAATCTTAATATTCCTTATTTCTAACAGGCAAAGAGACTCAAGAAACATGGACGGTCACCCTAGAGCCCTTGGCCATGCATCAGAGACATTTTCAAAAACCAGTCAGAATTTTTCTAAAAGGCACGGCAAGCCAGTGGTCTCTCCCAGCAAGTAGCACGTTGGGCACGGAGAGCTGGATGTTACAAAGTCCAGAGGAGAACAAGTCAACGCAGAGGATGTTATTTCAGCAGCTGGTAAGCAGGCTGACTGCTGAAGAGTTACACCTGGTAGGTACCTGGCACATGGTAAATTATTCTTGTCTAAAAACACACTGGTGAGGTGAAATTAATGTGTTTATAAAGTGCCAAGGATTGTTCTACATGACGTAGTTTCAGTTACACATGTAGCATCATGACAATGCTCTTTAGTGAGGAAACAGTTTATAAAACTGCATGTACCTTGATTCCAACGAAGTTAAATTATGTTCTTATATGGGAACAAAAGGCAGTGGGCCGAATGGAATGCAAGTATTAGTTTAGGGTGGTGAAGTAATGCCTGGTTTCTAGTTATTTTGTAAGTGTTCTCTTATATATTTATTAACTTTATATAATAAATATCAGTTTTTATTTTTATTTATTTTTTTGAATTAAATATCATTTTTTAAAAGGCCTACACTGTAAAATTAGGTGTAATAGGGTTCAGTAGTTACACAAACTTAGAAATGTCTTCTGAAAAATACATATATACCCAGATTTGATTGAAAGGTGATGGTTATTTTTAAACAATGAGCAAATTTCTTACCTTACTTTGTCTTTTGCCTTTGTTACCTCAGAAGGCTTCTATCTTCTGGATCCCATTGTGAGACACTTAGAGAAAAGCTATATAATCTCTGAATCGATGTTGTTCTAAGAGTTGTGTAATCTGATAGAAAGAGCACTGGGTCGGGAGTCAGGCGGTCTGGATTGGGTCTCAGCTCTGCTGCCCAACTGTGTGATCTGAGTAAATCCCTTAAGTGTTAGTACTGCCTTGTGGTTAAGAGCATGGGTTTCGAATTCATATGTGCTTGGCTTCTGCATCTTACTAACTGGGTGACCTTAAACAGGTTATTTATTTCTCAGCCTTAATTCCTCCTCTGTAAAAGGGGGATAATAATCATTTTTACCTCAGAGTGAGGTTGTGAGGTCCTCAGTTTTGAGGACTCGGTGAGTTATAATAAACACATAATAAGTGCTTAGTAAATATTCCTGGTAACCTTAGGTTTTTCTTATTTGTAAATTGAGAGATTAGGATTATATGGTCACTAAATTCAGTTCTAGCACTAATACCCATCCAGCCTGTCTTTTCTACAGTTTTCTCTTTTATAATAACAGTCTTCGGGGAAACTATCATTCTGTCTTTTACTAAGCTACATTCTTCTTTAGCCATAGGACAGCCATCTTCTCAACTAATTAGAACTTCTGATGTAGGTTGCCAGTGTGGACCCTGGTGAAGGCTGGCCCCCCATCACGGGAGTTATTTCCCCCCTCTCTACCAATGCTGCAATCCTCACCGTGTTCCGCACTGAGGAGGCTGAATTTCAAAGACCTTTTCTCCAAACAGCTGTGGCCGAGAGCCCCCAGGATACAGCTTCCCTTTTTTCTGATGTTGTAGATATTGTACTGAATCAGATTCACAGTTCACTCGAAGATCCTGCTACCTGTGGTAAGCTTCTGAACCAATAACTAACGTACTCCAGGGTAGTGGTATAGTTGTTTTCCACCATCAGAATTTTTTTTTTCACTGTGCTCTTAGTAGAACCCCGATATCTATTATAAAACAGATAAAAGTAAGCTACAATGCTTCAGGCAATTTAAGTCATTATTATTTATAGAAATCCTAAAGCACTTCTGAGGGGTCCAAAGGCTCTGTGAAACTGGGTTGAAATCAAAGGTATAAGATGTGGGTTGAAATCAAAGGTATAAGATGAAACTTGTACTAATATATTTAATGAAGACTGCATATAAAACTGTTGTGATTCTGTCAACCTTCCAATTTGTTGCATTGTTACTAATACAACATAAACCTTATTTATGCTAGGTAGATAGAAATATAATCAATTTGATACTTATTCCATTAATTTATTCAGATTTATTGAGTGGCTGCTGTGGCAGGCACTGTTCTAATGGGAATGTATCAGAGAACAAAATAGACAAAAGTCTCTGTTCTTAGTGTACCGTCTAGTCGGGGGAAACAATAAGTAAGGAGGTTGCATAGTATGTTTGAAAGAGATAAGTGCCATTGTAATAAAGCAGGAAAAAAGGAATGGGGAGTGTAAGGGGGTGGGAGGGTTGCAATTTTGAACACGCTTTGTTGAAAAAGTAATATTTGAGCAAAGGCTTGAAGGAAGGTGATATGGGAAGAACGTTGCCGATAGAGGCAACCCCACGCGCCAAGACTCTGGAAGGGTGTGTGTCTGGTGTGTTGGAGGAGCCGTGAGCTAGCCTACGTTTGTACATTGTTGGGGTAGCCTTTTTCGTAGACAACACAGGCCCGTTGGAATCGGTGGTGTGGATGAAGGAATGTTGTTAATGATGTGGCCTTGTGTGTCCTTTGTGAGAATGCCGCCTGTCCAAGGGCAGAGCAAGCGCTTGCATTCTCCGCTTTGGGCCTGATGCCTCTTTTTCTGTCCTTCCTCTCCCATCTCTGCTCCTGGCCCTGTAGCTGCTGCTGTTCCAGAGTGGGCCCAGCAGGAGCTCGGCCGCACCGGCCCCTGGAGTGCAGCTGTTGTGGAGAAGTGGTTTCCTTGCTCTAACCTTAGTGGTGCCAGTTCCAGTTTGATGGAGTCATTTTGGTAAAACTTCTTGATTTCTCTGGGTATTGGTGGATGAAATCGGCTTTCACTTATCTGCACATGGGTTGGTTTGTGTAGTATAGTCCAATAATATTAAAAACTAATTAAAATGGAGAGCATTGTTTAATGGTTATAGAGTTTCAGTTTTACAAGATGAAGAGAGTTCTGGAGATGGATGGAGGTGGTTGGTGGTAGCTTAATTATGAATCTTCTTAATACCCCTGAACTGTGTACTTAAAAGTGGTTAAGATGTTACATTCATGGTATGTATGTTTTACCACAATTAAAAAAAATTGGAAAAAATTAATTACGAAAGTAAAATGCACTCATTATGGAAGTCAGAAAATATTTGGTATTAAATCTCAGTAAAAATGAAAAATAACATTTGTGTAATGCAGCTAAGTTTATACTTCAAGGAAGATTTATAGAACTTATCTTTTAAGGAAGAAAAGTTAAAAACCAATTAACTAAGGGTCCAGTACAAGAAATAACACAAGAGAGTAAACCCCAAAAATAAGACAGTAATAAAGATAAGAATAAACATGAATCACAGAAAAAAAAAATAGAAATCAACAAACAAAGTGATTCTTTAAGAAGCCAAATAAAATAGAATTATCTATAGCAAAATCAAGCAGTGTTTTTGTTTTTTAAAGATTTTATTTATATGAGATAGAGCACAAGCAGGGGGAGTGGCAGGCAGAGGGAGAGGGAGAAGCAGGCTCCCCGTTGAGCAGGGAACCCAGTGTGGGGCTGGATCCCAGGATCCTAGGATCATGACCTGAGCCAAAGGCAGACGTCTAACCGACTGAGCCACCCAGACACAACCATATTAGAAATGTAAAAGAGGGGCGCCCAGGGCTCAGTCAGTATAGCATCCGATTCTTGGTGTCGGCTCATGTCATGACCTCAGGGTCATGGGATTGAGCCCTGCGTCAGGCTCTGCGCTCAGCAGGGAGTCTGCTTGAGATCCTGTCTCTGCCTCTGTCTGCTCCCTCCCCCCCCACTCTCTCTCTCAAGTAAAGAAATCTTTAAAAAAAAAAAAGTAAGAGATATAGAAGAAATTCAAAATAGTATTAAGATGTAAAGTTAAGATTTATTTTTTGCCATAGAGGTAACCAGTTGTTCCAACACCATTTGTTAAAAGATAGTCTTTTTCTCATTGAGTTTACTGTGGCACCTTTGTCGAAATCAGTTCACCACCATCATGTAGGTCTATTTATGAAAAGAACCTAGTCCAGACAGTGTGTTCATGTCATATTGTCTTGAGTACTGAAATCAGATAATCCTCTCAACTTTGTTTTATCTTCAGAATTGCTTTGACTATTCTAGATCCTTTGTGTTTCCATGTAAATTATAGAATCAATCTGTTAATTTCCACCAGAAAAGCCTGCTGGGATTTTTGACCAAGAGTGCACTGAGTCTGTAGGTCATTTTGAGAAGAATTGACTTAATAACGAGTCTTCTGATTCATGAACGTGGTACAGCTCAAAAGGGCTAAGACAGAACAGGTGCACTTTCCCCTATAAGAAAGCAGTGTTTACCGTAAAGCTCTAATGAGTAGGGCAGTGTGGCATGGGTGCAATGATCAACAGAGAGACCCATGCAACAGTAGAGTGCCCCCAAAATGACCCACACCTGTATGGGAGCTCAGCATATGACAGAGGCAGAATTATAAACCTGGGAAAGAATAGACTGTTCAATAAATGGTGGTGTGACAATTCGCTCTCTAGAAGAAAAAGGATAAAAATTAGATTTCTACTTCACAGCATACACAATGATAAAGTCCTATTAAAATTTTAAAAACAAGTGTGAAAAGTAAAGCTTTAAAATCGTAAGAAGGGAAGATGAGTAGTTCAGGCTGGGAATGGATTTCTTATATAAAACCTTAAGCATTCAAACCATGAAGGAAAATAGATGACTATAATTTAAAATTTTCTGTACGATGAAAAGGACTAGTTATAGGCCTAGGTGGCTGTATCCATATAACTAAGAAAGGATTAGTTATCTAAATTAGTACAGAGCTCCTAAAAATCAACAAGGAAAAGACAAGCAATTGGGCAAAGAATGCAAACAAGTGGTTCATGCAATGAAATCCAACAGAGCAGTAATTTGAAAAGCTAAGATACTCAGTTGGGGCACCTGGCTGGCTCAGTCCGGAGAGCACGTGACTCTTGATCTCAGGGACCTGAGTTCAAGCTCCACATTGGGCATAGAACTTAAAAAAAACTCAGTTTAGATAAATGGAAATGAAAACCGTAATAAGAAAAACCCCACAAGATTCTATTTTATACCATTAGATTGTCCCAGGTCAGTAAATCTGATCTAGAACAAGGGGAAATGACACTTTAGACAATAGAATTATAAATGATTACAACCATTTCAGAAAGCAGGTTGTATTCCTAGTAAAGCAGAAACTTCGCATACTGACAACCAGCAATTCCATTTACATGTGTCTACATTAGAGAAGTTTTTGCACAAACGTGAGGAGAGCTACACTTGATTGTTCACTGCCAGTCCTTAAAAGTGAAAAAGTGGAAAGAACCAGCTGTCTCTCAGTGGGGAAATGGAGAAACAAACTGTGATATAGTTATACAAGGGAATATTATAGATTAGTAAAACTGATTAAACTAGAGCTATTTATATGCTCATGAAAAATATGTTGAGTACAGACAAAAAAGTGCAAAAGGATGATGTATGATATTTTTAAAAACTTAGAATGCATATAATAGCAATTTATATTGGTTTCCATACATATGTATGTCTCTAAATAAACACAGGTCTAGGAATATCTCTGGAAGGAAGCGATGGGAAAAGATAGAGTGGGCTTTTTTTGTGTCTATAATGCTTAATTTCATTAAAAAATCTGAAGTAGATAGGGTAAACCATTAGCAAGTATTTAATCTTGCTGGGAGGTACATATCTAATAATGCTTTCTCTACTGTGTATTTGGAAGGTTCATAAGTTCTAAACAAACCCTCCCCTCAGTGAAAGGCAGTCCCAGCACACTTAGGGAGAATTAGTCTGCTTCAGACCTGCTACATATGTGAAACTGAGAGCCCCAGCAGATTCAACTCATGTCGCCATAACTTTCTCCTACTTTAAATCAAATAATATCACATAATGGAGGACAGTGAAATACAAGTAATGCATTTTGAAAGTTGTGCCATTTTCATAGTTTGCTTAGCGACTGATCTGTAGTCCTATGCAGAAAAGCATTTGATAACTAATCACCCCTCTGCCCCACTTCATCCCCTTCTCATCAATCCCATATTAGTTTACTACTATGTGAAAGAATTATTCAGAAGTCACTATGACACTTAATATACTGTTACATCAGTATATTAAGTGAGTAAAAAATACACTGAATAAAAAATAACTGGATAAGTCAATACTGTATGTCATGATTAATGGTTTTGTGAACAGGTTGCTTCCATTCCTGAGTGTTTTTGGTGTTTTTTTTTTGTGAGGGGCTTAACAAACATTTATTGTGTCACAATTATGGAGTCTACAAATCTGATCATTTAGGTGTTGCATGGGTTGATTTCTTCTGAGAGCTATGAGGGGGGAGTCTACTGCATATTTCTCTCCTATCTTCTAGTGTGAGTGTTTAAATCGTAAGTGAGAAGAGAGGGACCTTTTCCCTCCTGAGAAAAAAATATATATATTTTTTTATTTTTTTTTTTTAAAGATTTTATTTATTTGAGAGAGAGAGAATGAGAGATAGAGAGCACGAGAGGGAAGAGGGTCAGAGGGAGAAGCAGACTCCCCGCTGAGCAGGGAGCCCGATGTGGGACTCGATCCCGGGACTCCAGGATCATGACCTGAGCCGAAGGCAGTCGCTTAACCAACTGAGCCACCCAGGCGCCCGAAAAAAATATTTTTGAAGGCTTCTTGTGTGGACATCTTTTGATTAACTTTTAAAAGGATAATTTTGTTATAGCATTTTGGAAAAACCAGAATTTCAGCTTTATACTAGACATCTTGCCTTGTTCACAGGTTACTGCAGGCTGCCTCATCTAATAAGGAAGAGTCTTCCAAAACTGAAAGTGAATTAATATGTTGCCTGTCCGAGCTCTACCAGAGAAAGTCTCGGGAAGAATCCATTGTGTCCAATCAGGAAGACAGCAAAAAGAAACGTAAGCGCGTAGACTGTTTTTTGAGCGTGTATGTTTTAAAAGATTGGCATTCTCTAAAATGTGGTTGAAATGGTAACTGAATAAGAGAAGGACAAATTTGATATTTCAAATTTGAAAGTTTCAAATTTGAAAATGATTACATTAGTTACAAAAGTGATATTAAAAAATCGCTCACAGTCCTTTCTTAATAAACCATTTCCGTTTTTAGTTATGACAGAAATATAAATCCAACTTTATGTGCTGCTTATAAATACTTACTCATCTGCTACCTTGCCTTTTTGGTTACTATTCTACCTCATTGCTTCACAAAATTTACAAAATGCTTACGTTGTCGAACAGATTCTCAGTTTTTATCATTATAAATAATATTAGAGTGTACATCATGCATGTGATTTTTTTTTTTAAGATTTTATTTATTTGACAGAGATAGAGCAGGGACACAAGCAGGGGGAGTGGGAGACAGAGAAGCAGGCTTCCCGCTGAGCAGGGAGCCCGATGCGGGGCTTGATCCCAGGATCCTGGGATCATGACCTGAGCCGAAGGCAGGTGCTTAACAACTGAGCCACCCAGGCGCCCTGCATGTGATTTATTTTTTGAGTGCCTTCCTTAGAATAAGTTGTCAGGAACAAGTTACTGTACCAAAAAGTGGGAGAAAGTAGCTTTTGATGCAGACTGCTCAATTGCTTTTTAGGAGAGTTTCGTCACAACTCTGACCATTGGGGAACACCAAAATGGGTCTGTTTGGCATTTGCCTTGCTAAAAATCATCTGATCCTGTTGCGATGTTTCGTTCCTAAACCTCAGTTTAAAGAAGAGCTCTCTTTCTACTCCAGGTTGTAGGTACAAGGAGATGCACGAACCCCCAAATTGAGATCCTCCTAAAGGGATATACTTTATTTCAGTATTCTTTCACAGACTATTTCATCTGAATTAAAGTGGTTCCTAAATTGGCAGAAGTGAAAGCTATTTTCCTTTTCTCTCCATGCTGTTTTGGAAGGAGGGGTCCCTCGGACTCCCGTGCGGCAGAAGATGAACACCATGTGCCGCTCCCTGAAGATGTTGAACGTGGCGAGGCTGAACGTGAAGGCGCAGAAGCTGTGTCCAGACGGCAGTCCAGAGGCGGCCGGGGAGAAGGGGGTCCAAAGGCCAGCCAGTGGGAGGACAGCAGATAAAGGGGAAAACCGAGGAAGGACACTAAGAAGCTCTAAACCTAAAGGTATTCCTCAGTTCCACAGCTTTTTGGTGTCTAAGGCCAGGTTTACTCTTTCATACCCTCAGATTCTTGTAAGTTTTAATCCTATCCGTCAATTAATGAATATTTATCAAACATCTGCTGCATTCCTCAAAGTATGTTATGGGGAATACAATAAAAATAAGATCGTGTCCTATTCTCAGATTTAAGATCCAGCCGCAAAGATGATAATAATTCATATATGCAGATACACACACACACACACACACACACAAAATACATAATGAACTAATGCAGCCTAATACACGAGAGAGCCAGGAATCTACAACAGGAAGGACTTGCCTGTTGGGGAAGTAAAGACATACTAGGACTGGAGAACGGGAAGGGCAGTCTTGGGCCAGAACAGGCTGAGGAGGCTTCTCAGGAGTCAGGGGAGCCCAGGCTAGATGCTGAGGAGCGAGCAGAGTTGAGATGGCAGCAAGGTAAGAGAGAGCGTGCTGGAAGGGGATTGGCATAAGCAAAGTCGCAAGACGGACCATGGCATGGCCATACGAGAGGTGATTAAAGAAGCTTTATACATTGAGGAATTAAGGGAAAGGAGAAAGCTTTGGGAGTGATCGAGGGTATTGAGGTCTTTCAGAGTTGGGCAGAAGAATTTCGTCCAGTAACATTACTTTTACTATTTTTTTTTTTAAGATTTTATTTATTTATTAGAGTGAGAGAGAGCATGAGAGCAGGGTGAGGGGTAGAGGGAGAAGCAGACTCCCTGCCGAGCAGGGAGCCTGATGCGGGGCTTGATCCTAGGACTCCTGGATCACGGCCTGAGCCGAAGGCAGATGCTTAACTGGCTGAGCCACCCAGGTGCCCCTAACTTTTACCATTCTTTATTTGTTTTCTAAAAAAGGGATAAAATTGCAGTAGGTTTCTCATTTCTCAGGGCATGTTCAGAGCCAGTCCTGTGGGAGGACTCTAAAGATAGCTTATGGACTTCAGGCAATAACTGCATGATGTCACCTTTGATTTCTTTTGAGAATTCTGGAATAAATAAACGAATTCTCCTTGAAGCCTTTTTTTTTTTTTTTTTTGCCTGTGGAATGTTAGAGTCATAGATGATCATCAGTCTGAATGAGACAGAACATGTTTAATGAGCTAATAAAAGTATTCGAGAATGTGGATGGTTCATTCAAGGGAGAGCGAAATTAACAGCACCCAAGACTTATTAACAGTTTCTGGACTAGATTCTGAGCAGAAATAGACCTGCCCGACAGTGGCAAGCAGCTTTTTGACAAAGGTGCCCCAGTAATTCAGTGGCCAAAGGATAATCTTTTCAACAAATGGTGCTGCAACAAATGGGTGTTTGCATGGAGAAAATGAACTTCAACCTTACCTCTTACTAGTATTTCAAATCTCTGCTCTATTTTTTCATTGTAATGTTGCTTATTTATGTTTCTCCCATTTTATTTTATTTTATTTTATTTTAAAGATTTTATTTATTTATTTGAGAGAGAGAGAATGAGAGACAGAGAGCACGAGAGGGAAGAGGGTCAGAGGGAGAAGCAGACTCCCCGCTGAGCAGGGAGCCCGATGTGGGACTCGATCCCGGGACTCCAGGATCATGACCTGAGCCGAAGGCAGTCGCCCAACCAACTGAGCCACCCAGGCGCCCCGATGTTTCTCCCATTTTAAACGGCTCAGTTTTACTATAGGTTTCTATACTTGGGTTTTCAGAGAATCATTGTTTTGTTTCTGTTGCTCTCTCTTGTTTCCTTTTTTTTTTTCCTATTCTCATTCCTATCTTTATTCCTTTCTTTTTGGGGTTTACTCTCATGTTATTTCTTGTGTTGGACCCTTAGCTGATTGGTTTTTATTTATTTATTTTTTTTAAAGATTTTATTTAAGAGGGAGGGAGAGAGAGAGCATGAGCAGGGGGAGGGCCAGAGGGAGAAGCAGGCTCCCCACTGAGCAGGGAGCCCGATGGGGGGCTCAATCCCAGGACCCTAGGATTATGACCTGAGCCAAAGACAGATGCTTAACCACTGAGCCACCAAGGTGCCCCTATTTTTTTTTTTCTTTAAAAGATTATTTAAGTCTATGAATTTTCCTTTAACTGCATTATACAAGTTTGCCATATTCTGTTTTCACTGATACTTTTTTCTAAATATTTTCTGACATCCATAATGTAAGGGAATTTTTTAATCCAATCTGATAGTTTCTTTTACCCAGCAAGTATATTTGTAAAATAAATGTTTATAATTACTGATAAGCTTGGATGTTTTTTAGTGTCTTATTTTGTGCTTTCTATAGTTTTTATTTTTTCCTTTCTAGCAGACTATGGGATTAATCAAGTTTTATTTATTCCTCTTTTTCCTTTCTGTTAGGTTTGGAGGTTATATAGTTTTGTTTTGCTTTTTTAAGATTTTATTTTTAAGTAGTCTCTATACCCAACATGGGGCTTGAACTCACAGCCGTGAGATCAAGAGTTATATGCTCCAGGGCGCCTGGGTGGCTCAGTCGTTAAGCTTCTGCCGTTGGCTCAGGTCATGATCCCAGGGTCCTGGGATCGAGCCTCGCATCAGGCTCCCTCCTCAGCTGGGAGCCTGCTTCTCCCTCTCCCACTCCCCTTGCTTGTGTTCCCTCTCTTGCTGTGTCTCTCTCTGTCAAATAAATAAATAAAAATCTTAAAAAAAAAAAAAAAGTTATATGCTCCATCAATTGAGCCAGCCAGGCACCCCTATAGTTTATTTTCCATTAATGATTATCCTTAAATTTATAACATGCACACTTGATTTGCAAAGCCTTAAAATTACCATCTCTGCAATTTCTCAGCCTCCACACTATTGACATTTTGGGTGGGGTAATCTGTTGTGGGGGCTGTCCTTTGTGCTGTAGGATGTTTAGCAGCATCCCTGGCCTCTGCCCACTAGATGCCAGGAGCATCCTCCTCATCCCAACCAGTCTGGCAACCCAAACACAGTCAAATGTCCCCTGGGAGGAAAAAATTCCCAGTTGACAGCCACTGGCTTAAACAATACAATGACTTCAGCTAGATGTGATGATAAATTTTATTTTTTTTCATAGATTTTAAAACCGAAGAGGAGCTCTTATCTTACATACATGAAAATTACCAAAAGACTGTGGCCACAGGAGAAATCACGTTGCATTCATGTGCTCAGAATATGATATCAACCATTAAAGCATTCCTAAAATCCAAAGGCACCAAGGAATTAGAAGTAAGAGAGTATGGGGTGGTTGGTTGCTTGTTGGTGGGTTTGGTTCATATGTCTTGGGAAATGACTATTATGTGGTATGTGATTCACAAGTAAGATAAGCAAGGGGGTGAACATAATTCCAGACCTTGGAAGGTGGACATGGTGAACTGGTAAGGCAGAAACCCAGGAAATAGGCCAAGTGAAGGTAGTGGTAATTACATATACTTCTTTTCTAATGAAATCTCTGTCTTCAGCTGCATGTTAGCTGCATGAATTAAGCTGGTGTTTCTTACCCAGAGTCACCTAGAACACTTTTTTAAAATGCTGATGCCTGGCTTCCTCAAGACCAACTGAAACAGATCTTTGGGGCTTGGCTGGGCATATGTACTTATACAAAGCTTGCTAGATGATTCTTATGCACAGGGAGTATTGCCAGTCATCGGTTTAGACCATGCTATCATTGTTTTTATTCATGTTTAGTGGTGCAAGCCAGGCACCTCTAAAGTGGACAGGAGTTGTTTACGGTCTTTTTTTCTTTTCCTTTCTTCCTTTTCTTTTTTTCTTTTCTTTCTTTCTTATTTATTTATTTAAAGTAAGCTCCATGCCCAACGCAGGGCTTCAACTCACAACCCTGAGATCAAGACCTGAGATCAAGAGTCAGATGCTCTACCAACTGAGCCAGCCAGACACCCCCATGGTCCTTAGATTTCTCAGTCACTAACTTAATGGAATCTTTTTTTTTTTTAAGGAAGGTCAGATATGCAGGCTTGTTGTAGCTATGCCCCTTGCTCTCATACTTTTTACCATGCTCCTTTTGAAAATATGAAGGAAAAACATTTTTTTTTTAAGGTTTTATTAGAGTGTGTGAGCACAGGGTGGGGCGGGGGAGAGGGAGAGAGAGAATCTCAAGCAGACTGCATCAAGCACAGAGCCCAGTGGGGGGGCTTGATCCCAGGAACCCTGATATCATGACTTGAGCTGAAACCAAGAGTCTGACACTCAACCGACTGAGCCACCCAGACACCCTGCACATTCATTTCAACTATTTTTCATTCAAATGAAATAAGGGAGCAGTTCATAAGGGAATGTACTTCCCTTCTTAGGACATTAATCAGCTGTGAAATGAATTAGAAATAGTAACTCAATTCTGTGTAATAATTTTGTATTTTCAGAGGAACTGCGTGAATCAAGTAAAAAATAGCCTCTTAAAAACTAGCAAAAGTCTTCGACAGAATCTAGGGGAACAATTGGATGAAGATAAAGTCAGAGAGTAAGTAACTACCTTGATTTATTTACTTATTTTTTACCATCACTCCAAAACAGCTCCAAGATTTTCTTGGATCCGTTTAAAATTGATTGATTGATAAATAAGTAAGTAAATAAATAAATGCAAACTCGATTGCCAGTTGCTCATAGAGGCTTTTTGTGGTTGATTCTTGGTGATGTTCTGATGTGCAGTTTGAGATACCTATTTACCTGATAAGCATATCATTATTTGGAGAAGGCAGTGGCTCTTCTCCTTTTTGGTTGTCGGTTCTTTTGTAAACAGATCTTTGCTTTTAGTTAAATGGCACTCAAGATAGATATGACCCAAGTATTTTATTCTGTCAAGGTGCCAACTTCAGGTATTTCTTCGTTTGGAGCTGTGTCTGCAGTGCCCTTCCGTACACGAAAGCATCGTTGAGATGGAGCAGGTGGTGAAGGAGGCAAGTATATAGCTCAGTGCTGCTGGAAATAAGCCTGAGGCTCTTAGCTTCCCTGCAGAAGGCATATGGTAATTTTCGAATATCTTCTTCAGGTGACAGACTTGCTGCGCATGGTGTGTTTGACTGAGGATTTGGCATACCTAGCAAAGTTTCTGGAAGAAATTTTGGGATTGTGAGTTTGATGCCTACTAACTTTAGAACTATTTTACCAGGAACTGCATGTGGTATTATGTGAGAATTGTGGAATTCTAAGGACTGTTTGTCCTGCTGGATGAGGGATGGAACAGAGAGGGTGGAAGGGTGGCCATTGCATATTTAACCAATTTATTCCACAGGTATATTGACTCGATCCCGAAGACCCTTGGAAATCTTTATGACAGCCTAGGGTTTATGATTCCTCAGAAGCTGGCTGGTGTCCTTCCTCTAGATTTTTTCAGTGATGACTCCATGACACAAGAGAACGTATCACCCCTTCTTTCTGTGCCTCTTCTGTCAAGTGCTCATAGATCAGTGTCGGGTGGCACTGAATCTGACCAGCTGGAGGAGCTTCGAACCCGATCAGCTAAGAAGAGAAGGTGGGAGCTCAAGGAATTGAAGGAATTACTTGCTCTGTTGTAGTTCTGACAGAGGGCAGTTGTCTTGGTATATAACTTGTTGAATTACTAAGTTGCCCTTTTGTCTGAATCCCAAAAGCCATCTATTGGCATTCCTAACATGCAGCATCTGGCATCCTTTTTATTATCCAAGGAATATACAGGAATGATAATGTAGTCCGCAGTGCCCTTGCCTATCCACGTGGGGTCTCCAGGAGCTAGGAGCCTTTTATGAGATAGACTTCGGGCTTCAGTGTACTTGCTGTTTTCCTTGATGCTCTTCGTTCTTCATAACTAGTTGAATTGATAGTAGTTAACTTTCGGAAATTGTGAAGCTGTCGTGTTTTGCTACAAATTCAGGCCAATGCCAACATAACTGGCTTCTATTAGTGTATTATTTTCAACTCTGATTCTTTTCTAATTTACTCGTAACCTCTATTGAATGTATAATGGCTGTTTGTTTCTATTTTTAAAAGGAAAAATGCATTAATAAGACATAAAAGCATTGCAGAGGTTTCGCAGAATCTTCGACAAATTGAGATCCCCAAAGTGTCCAAGAGAGCTACAAAAAATGTAAGTTTTTCCCAAGGGACAGGAAATAGTGCTACCAGATCTGTTCCTTCCAGCACGAGTTGACACAATAAATAAGCTTAAAGGGCAGTGTCTACTTTGAGGAAGTGGACACTGGAGGATACAGAAATAAAACGATGTTTTTATGAATGAGTATTCAACTGGAATCCAACAACTAAAGAACTATAAATTTGCTAAAGATAAACCAGTTTACCCAAAAGTATGACAGTTAGAGGTGATACAAAGAAAAACAGAAAGGAATGAATAAGTTAATTAAAAGTCTTTAGAGGGGCGCCTGGGTGGCTGTCATTAAGCGTCTGCCTTCGGCTCAGGTCATGGTTCTAGGGTCCTGGGATCGAGCCCCGCATTGGGCCCCTGCTCAACAGGAAGCCTGCTTCTCCCTCTCCCTCTCCCCCTGCTTATGTTCCCTCTCTCGCTGTGTCTCTCTCTGTCAAATAAATAAATAAAATCTTAAAAAAAAAATCTTTAGATAAGCAAACTCAAAATAATAACAAAGCAGGGGCGCCTGGGTGGCTCAGTTGTTAAGCTTCTGCCTTCGGCTCAGGTCATGGTTCTAGGGTCCTGGGATCGAGCCCCGCATTGGGCCCCTGCTCAGCGGGAAGCCTGCTTCTCCCTCTCCCTCTCCCCCTGCTTATGTTCCCTCTCTCACTGTGTCTCTCTCTGTCAAATAAATAAAATAAATAAATCTTTAAAAATAATAACAAAGCAAAGAGACCACTGAAAAATAATGTGCATCATAATAGGACTTTGGTTGCAGACCAGAAAGTGCTTTTCAGTACATTTTACTTCAGTAAGGTGGGGTGGGGGCAGCTGTCATGAAGCCAGGTGATTGCTGGGTTTTTTTTGGTGGCAGGTGTGAGAACTTGAGGCTTTGTTGGTTGCAAAAAAGAAAGAAACCCAGCTGGAGTCTATTTATTAAGTAGAATTGATATCTTGTTAAGGAAAGAAGGGAGACAGTGCATTGAAATTTTTTGAACTGCATGAACTATCTGAGAAGAGTTAAAATTCTGTAAGAACTAGCTTTACTAGCATTAATCATCACAATAGTGCTTCTGTTTCTAGAGATGTATAGCTGTCCTTTGGAATTGGAGGTGGGATTGTTGTTTTAAGAGTTAGTGGTGTTCACTTCCTTAGTACGCCTTAATAAGTGAAAAAATGCAAATCTTGTGTATCTTGGAATCCTGATTGGAGAGTGGGAAATCCAGAAGTGGGTGGCTACAAAGGTGTCAGATCTCCTTTCTCTCTAGATGTTACAATGATTTGCAGTCCTTTCTAGCACTCCTTAAGTCAGCCTCTATGTGGTAGTTCATTCTTCAGGAAATATATTGGCATAACTGGAAAGAAACAAAAGCTTTAAAAACAATTCCGTTGTTTATTTTTTTTAAAAGATTTTATTTATTTATTTGACAGAGACACAGAGAGGGAACAAGCAGGGGGAGCAGGAGAGGGAGAAGCAGGCTTCCTGCGGAGCAGGGAGCCCAATGCGGGGCTCGATCCCAGGACCCTGGGATCATGACCTGAGCCGAAGGCAGATGCTTAACGACTGAGCCACCCAGGCGCCGCTTAATTCCGTTGTTTAGATGCATCTAGATTTTTAGACTATTGAATAGTAAATAGATTAATGCAGAGAAGTCCCTAAGAGTATAGTCATCCTCTAATTTATATGGGTTTTCCCTTATTTTTTAGTTCTAAAAAGTATATATGGTCATCATTAAAAAAATTAAAAATCCTATAAAGTTAAATTTAAGAGTGTCCCTTCTCCATTCTTTTTTTTTTTTAAAGATTTTATTTGAGAGAGAGGAGCGGGGGAGAGGGAGAGAATCTCAAGCAGACTCCCTGCAGAGCCCGCCCCAGGAGTCTGATCTCACAGCCCTGAGAATCTCACAGCCTTGAGATCGTGACCTGAGCCAAAATCAGAGTCTGATGCTCAACTGACTGAGCCACTCAGTCGCCCCTCCATTCATTCTTCAGAAGTAATCCTTGATGACTGTTGTGTCTGTCCCAGGCCCTTTTCTCTGTATACCGATAGCACACATCAAAGGTGTCTTCGTCCCTCTTACACACAGACGTACACATTACAAGCTGAACAAACCTGCTGTACTTGTTCTGGTTTTGTTTTTTTCTTTTTTCCCTTTTCCCCATCGTGGACTTGTTTCTCTGTACGTACAGATAGGTCTTCCTTCCTTCTCTATTTCTAGAGGTCTTCCCGAGGTTTTAATGTCTGCATTGGATGGATGTATCAAAATTTGCTTCACTCCACGGATATCGAGGGTGTTTCTTATTTTGTATTACAATGCAGGCTTCAGTGTCCTTCGAACATGCATCTTTTTTTGTGCATTTTACAAGTATTACTGTTAGGGATTCGTACAAGCGGAAATGCAAGGGTCAGAGGATTTCATGTGGAATTTTTATTCTTTGAACTGAATGCCGATTTCCTCTTCCAGGAGAGCTCTCGTCCTCCTCTTCAGCAGCCTCTACTTCCGGTGAAAGATCCAGTACAAGGTACACTGTGCTCTTGCAGTGCACACATTTATTGACTAGCATGACAAACTTAGTTTAATTGCACATATTGTAGCAGCTGCATACAGTTTTAAATTAGAATTTTGTATAATCGTTGGTTAATGAAATCCAAATACCATGTGCTAGGAGAATGAGGTATTCACATGGTCTCAAAATCCTGCATTCTGCAAAATCACTGCCTGAAATTTTTTAAAAACACTATTACTATGAAAACCACAGAAAGGAAAAGAAGTGATGATAAACTGATTTAGGTGAAGGCACTTAAAGTGTGACCACTGAACGCACCACATGATCCCTGCTTGCGTCTTAACTTTCATGGGTTGGGGTCGGGGAGCGGTAAGGGATATTGCTGACCATGAGAGAAGTGGGAAGATGGATAGTATGCTGGGTGCCCTGCCCTTGTTCTTGGGAGATGTGCCCTGAAGTGCAGGGAACTAAAGGGTTGGGATGTCCCCACCTTACTGTGCAACTTCGGTGGGGGAAAAGTTCTGTAAACATAGAGGTGCAGGGAGAAAACAGATGTTGATGGCTGGTGAATTTTAGTGTTGATTCTAGGTGTAATGTGTTATTCTTTGAAGCTTTCTGTCAATATTAAAGTTTGAAAAACTTGGGAAAACCAAGGAACAAATCAGACTTGGCTGTCAGGTCCTAAATCCATTTCAGGCATTTGTTTTGAAACTTGAGTGTTATTGGTGTCCATAACAGTAATGTCGGTCACTGGTGGGTAAATATCAGGGCTCCTCCCAGCTTGTGGATCAGGGTTAATTTGGTTTGTATTTAAATGACCTGCTCTTAGAGGAGTTTATCCTTAGTGTTTGGGTAGCCGCCTCTGGGCCATCTTGCTTCGGACTAAGATGCCATCCTGCTAGCTTTGTCAAGTAGTTTTTGACTCGGGAGCTGTTTCTCCTAACTTTGAGTCTAAGTGGCCACACAATTCTCATGTCCTGGAGTCAGGAAGAGCATTTAAAATAACCTAGCAAATTCGTAAAATATCATAAGAAGAATGAGATTTGTGGAATTGAAAGGAACAGTTCCTCTCCTTGGAGTTGAGCAGAATACAAAGCAGTCAAAAGGTCTAAAGTGAGGAAAATCATCATAACAGTGGCGTATAGTAAAAGGACTCTGACCTCCATTAGCCAGCCTCTTAAGGATTGTGTCCATTTTACAATGAGGACAGCCTCTAATTTAAGTGATGTGGGCCTTCCTTGTGTTCCTGAAAAGTTGGATTTAAACTGAATTTGTAAGAGTAGTTTGAATGCATCATGTGAGTATAATATTTAAGGAAATCCTGTTAGTAAATGTGAATATTAGTAAATGTTGCTTTTTCTTTTTTTAATGCTTTCAGAAGTGACCAAAGTTCGAAGAAATCTCTTCAACAAGGAAATGATTTCTCCTTCAAAGAGATCAGCAAAGCGGGGGTTGCCTAGAAGCCACTCTGTGTCCGCAGTGGAAGGTCTGGAGTATAAACTTGACAACTTCAAGAGGACCAAAGGTACTGTCTTTTAGGGTAGCCAAGAGAAGGGGGGGCTCTTGGATCCAAAGCAGCCTCCAGACTCTTTGTTGCAGAAGCTCATTGATCTGTTTTCCTCTCTGTGGTTACCATCAGTTTTCCCCTTGGGGTCTCTCTCCCTCCAAGCTTGGATGAAGACTTGATCCTGGTATCTGCTCAGCCTTCCCCTTCCTAGTTGCCCCCACAGACAAACATCTATTTTACAAAACCAATGAAAAAGGAAGGATAGTGACCAGTGGTTTTCAAGTCTTTTGAGGGGGTTTTTTTTGGTTTGTTTTCTTTTTTCTTTTTTGTTCTTTTAGTAATTGAGTAAAGTATGATTCACCTGTCTTTGTTATATTCACAAAGTTATGCAACCATCATCATAAATTCCGGATCGTTGTTTTTTTTTTGTTTTTGTTTTTTGTTTAAGATTTTATTTATTTACTTGACAGAGACAGCGAGAGAGGGAACACAAGCAGGGGCAGAGGGAGAGGGAGAAGCATGGGACTTAATCCCAGGACTCTGGGATCATGACCTGAGCTGAAGGCAGATGCTTAACTGACTGCACTGCCCAGGCACCCCCCCGGGTCGTTTTTATCACTCTAGAAAGAAACTCCATTTCCCCTGACTCTCCTAGCTGGAGGCAACCACCAATCAATCTACTTGCTGTTTCTGTGGATTCTCCTCTTGTGGGTATTTCTGGGTTTGTTTTTGTTTTGTTTTTTAAGATTTTATTTATTTTGAGAGAGAGAGAGCATGAACAGAGGGGAGAGGGAGAAGCCGACTCCCCGCTGAGCAAGGAGCTCGATTGGCGCCCAGTCCTAGGACCCTGGGATCATGACTTGAGCTAAAGGCAGATGCTTAACCGACTGAGCCACCCAGGCGCCCTCTTGTGGGTATTTCTTATAAGTGGAATCATACACTATACACCAGCTTTTTTCACTTAGCATAATGTTTTCAAGCCTTATATACGTGTGGTAGCATGTCTTAGCACCTCATTTCTGTTTATTGCCCATAATATACCATTGTACGGATAAACTGCCTTTTATTTATCCCTTCATCAGTTGGTAGACATTTGAGTTGTTTCCACTTTTCGGCTATTGTGAATAATGTTTCTATAAACATTCATGTACAAGATTTTGTGTAGACATGTTTTCCATTCTCAGGCACATGCCTTGGAATGAAATTGCAGGGCCATATGGTAACTCTGTTTAACTGTGAGGAACTACTGAATCATTTTCCAAAGTGGCTATACCATTTTACATTCCCACTAGCAATGTATGAGGGTTCGTTTCTCCACACCTACCTTCTGTTGTACCACCCCCCCTTTTTTTTAAGTAGGCTGGGGACCCCTGGATGGCTCAGTTGATTGCACATCTGACTCTTGATTTCGGCTCAGGTCATGATCTCAGGGTCGGGAGATTGAGCCCCGAGTCAGGCTCTGCGCTCAGCATGGAGTCTGCTTGATAGGCTTGCTCTCCTTCCTGCCCGTCCATCTCCCTCCCGCCCTCCCTGCTTGTGTGTTCTTTTTATCTCTCTCTAAAATAAATAAGGGGTGCCTGGGTGGGGCAATTGGTTGAGCCTCTGACTCTTGGTTTTAGCTCAGGTCATGATCTCAGGGTCGTGAGATCGAGCCCTGGGTCAGGCTTTGCGCTCAGCATGGAGTCTGCTTGAGTTTCTCTCACCCTCTCTCTTTGCCTTTCGCCCCTTCTCTTTCCCTCTCTCTCTCAAATAAATAAAGAAATCTTTAAAAATAAATAAATAAATAAAATCTTAAAGTAGGCTCCACACCTAGCGTGGAGCCCAACTGGGACTTGAACTCATGCCCCTGAGATCAAGACCTGAGCTGAGATCAACAGTCGGTCGCTTAACTGACTGAGCCACCCAGGGGCCCCTGTTGTCGCTCTTTTTGATTCAAACTGTCCTCTTGGGTGCATGTGTAGTGGGATCTCATTGTGGTTCTCAGTTGTATGTCACTGATGACTAATTTTGAGCATCTTTTCATGTGCCTGCTGGCTATCTGTATGTCTACTTTAGAGTGTCTATGCAAATTTTTGCCCATTTTTTAATTGAAATGTCAGGTAAAAATTGTAATTGTTGAATTGCAAGAATTCTTTATATATTGTAGATATTAGTCCCTCATCAGATACATGATTTGTAGATATTTTATCCAGTCTGTGGGTTGTCTTTTCACTTTGATAGTGCCCTTCAATACACAAAAAGTTTTCAATTTTGATGAAGTCCATTTTAAAGCAATTTATGAATTTTTGTCATTGCTTATACTTTTGGTGTCATAGCTAAAAAACTACTACTTAATCCAGTTTTAGAGTTTAAGCTGTTCCATTTCAGTCTTTGATCCATTTTGAGTTAACTTTTGTGCATTGTTTTGTGTGAGATAGGAGCACAATGTCGTTCTGTTGTATGTGGCTGTCCCGTTGTCCCAGTCCCATTTGTTGAAAAGACTTCTTTCCTCATTGAGTTGTTGTGGCATCTTGGTCAAAGGTAGAATGACCATGTATTTTAAGGTGTTAATTATTTTTTAAATGTTAGGTAGAATTCAACATTAAAGCTATCTAGTCCTGAGTTTTCTTTGTGGGAAGTTTTTTGATAACTAATTCCATCCTTTACTTGGTACAGATTTATTTAGATTTTCTGTTTCTTCTTGAGTCTGTTTTCAGTGTTTGTGTCTTTCTAGGAATTTGTCTATTTCACTTTGCTGTTATACAGTTGTTCATAGCATTCCCTAATAGTCCTTTGAATTTCTGTGAGGTTGGTATCTACGATCCCTCTTTCATAGTAGTTTGGGTTTTCCCTCTTGGTCAGTCTAGTTAAAAGTTTGTCAGTTTAATGATCTTTTCAAAGAACCAACTTTTGGTTTCATTGATTTTTGTTTTGTTTTTAATTCTTGATTTCATTGATTTCCTATGCAGTCTTTACCATTTCCTTCCTTCTACTTGCTTTGGTGTTAGTTTGATCTTTTTGAGCTTTTAAGGTTAACTTTAAGTTACTGATTTGAGATCTTCTTTTTTAATACAGGCATTACAGGTACACATTCCCTTCTAATACTGCTTTAACTGTATCCTCTAAGTCTGGGTATGTTGTGCTTTCATTATCTCAAAATATTTTCTAATTTCCCTTGTGATTTCTTCTTTGACCCATTGGTTATTTAAGAGTGTGTTGACCTCCGTGTATTTGTGAGTTTCCCAGATTTCCTGCTGTTGTTAATTTCTAATTTCATTCCACTGTGGTTGGAGAACAAACCTTGTATTTTAGTCTTATTTTTTGAGACTTATTTTATGCTCTACCATTTGTCCTGTTAGTGGAGAATGTTCTGTGTATGCTCAAGAATAATGTGCATTCTCTTGCTGGGTGGAGTGATATCTCATTGGTTGTTTTGATTTGAATTTCCCTGATGATGAGTGATGTTGAGCATCTTTTCATGTGTCTGTTGGCCATCTGGATGTCTTTGAAGCAATGTCTGTTTTAGGTCTTCTGCCCATTTTTAATTGGATTAGTTTTTGGTGTTGACTTGCCTGAGTTCTTATTTTGGATAGTAACCCCTGATTGGATATGTCATTTGCAAATATCTTCTCCCACTCAGTAGGTTGCCTTATTGTTTTGTTGGTTTCCCTTGCTGTGCACAAGCTTTTATATTTTGGTGTAGTCCCAATAGTTTGCTTTTGTTTCCCTTGCCTGAGGAGATATACTTAGAAGTTGCTAAGGCTGATGTCGAAGAAGTTACAGCCTGTGTTCTCTTCTAGGATTTTTGTGGTTTCAGGTCTCACATTTAGGTCTTTAATCCATTTTATTTTTGTGTATGGTGTAAGAAAGTGGTCCAGTTTCATTGTTTTGCGTGTAGCTGTCTAGTTTTCCCAACACCATTGATTGAAGAGAAGACTATCTTTGTGCCATTGCATATTCTTGCCTCCTTTGCTGTAGATTGACCATATAAGTGTGGCTTATTTCTGGGCTGTATATTCTATTCCATCAATCTTTGAGTCTGTTTTTATGCCAGTACCATAAGGTTTTGATTACTACAGCTTCGTAGTAGATCTTGAAATCTGGGATTGAGAAGATTGCTCTGGCTAATTGGGGTCTTTTGTAGTTTCATACAAATTTTAGTATTACTTGTTCTAGTTCTGTGAAAAATGCTTTTGGTATTTTGATAGAGATTGTATTGAATCTGTAGATTGCTTTGGGTGGTATGGACATTTTAACAATATTAAATCTTCCAATACATGAGCATGGTATATCTTTCCATTTATTTGTGCCATCTTCTATTTTTATCATCAGTGTTTTATACTCATAATACAGGTCTTTCACCTCCTTGATTAAGTTTATTCCTAGGTATTTTATTCTTTTTGGTGTAATTGTAAATGGGATTTTCTTTTTTTTATTCTTTTTAAACTTTTTTTTTTAAAGATTTTATTTATTTGAGAGATAGAGTGAGCATGAGAGAGAGCCCACGAGCAGGGGCAGAGGGAGAGGGAAAAGCATACTCCCTGCTGAGCAGGGAGCCCAATGTGGGTCTTGATCCCAGGACCCTGGGATCATGACCTGAGCCAAAGGCAGATGCTTAACCAACTGAGCCACGCAGGTGCCCTTGTTTTCTTTTTCTTTCTGCTACTTCATTACTAGTGTGTAGAAATGTAACAGATTTCTGTATATTAATTTCATATCCTGCAACGCTACTGAATTCATTTATCAGTTCTAGTAGCTTTTTGATGGAATCTTTAGGGTTTTCTATATTTGGCATTGTTTCATCTCCTAATACTTTTACTTATTCTTTACCAATTTGGATGCCTTTTATGTTTTGTCTGATTGCTGCAGCTAGGACTTTCAGCACTGTTGAATAAAAGTGGTTGAGAGTAGACACTCTTGTTCTTGATCTTGAGGAAAAGCTCTGATTTTCACCATTGAGTATGATGTTAGCTGTGGGGGTTTTTCATCTATGGCCTTATTACATTAAGGTATGTTCCCTCTAAACCTATTTTGTTGAG